GCACAGAAAGCTAAACGTCGAAATCTTGAGAATAAATGGCGAAAATCTCGTCTGACAATTGATAAACAGTTATATAATGAACAATGCAATGTGATTAAAAATATCATCAAGTCATCTAAAAATGAATATTACTCTAACATAATAAATGAGCACAAGGGAGACCAGAAAGTGCTGTTTTCTACTTTTGAGAAGATGACTCACAAAAATGGTAATAAAGAGTWTCCATCAGCTTCTTCCGACAAGCATCTTGCTAATTCGTTTGCTGACTTTTTTGTGGAAAAAATCAAAACAATTCAAAGTAATTTTGTCAACGTCAGTTGTTACCTGGGTAATCAGCCTGCTTTACTAAACAACAATCTTTTTCTGAGGTTTCCACTGAGTATGTCTCGAAAATTATTTGTCCATTAGTATCAAAGTCGTGCAGTCTTGATCCTCTTCCTGGCAAAGCTTTAAAASTTTGCATAGATCAATTAATCCCGATTAAATTACTAAAATAATCAATCTTTCTTTGGAGAATGCATTAATGCCTTTACCACTTAAGCTTTCTGTTATTAAACCACTWCTTAAAAAGCAAATCTTGCCGTCAGAGGAGTTTTCGAGTTTTAGACCGATTTCAAATTTAAAGTTTTTATCAAAAGCCATTGAAAAGGTAGTGGCCTCACAGCTGGTTGACCACCTCGAACAAAATAACCTTCAGTTGCCACTCCAATCGGCATATAATAATAATAACTTTAAAAGGGACCCTGAGATCGCAAACTATTCATASCTCAAAATGTACATTWAAGCTTGTAAATTTTGAAAATGAAAATAAAAATTCGATCAAATTCGATTTACGGGGTTATATCGTCATTAAAASATCGCAATTTACTTCTTATGGGATCCCTGTGGAATATTGCAGTTTCAAGTAGTTGGAGTTCCAGTGCGGAATGACGTCAGATCGTTGCACCTGTTGCTTTCCGCTAGGTGCGAAGGTACAGTGTGTTGCCCTAATTTCGGACAGTCCCTATTCTCGGACACTTTATCTTTTACACGCAAAAAACGTAAACAATATTCGTGACGAAGTAAATCTGACACTTCATACTTAAGTATTCATATGTTTCCTTGCGTGACACAAAATTTGGGAATCCTGTGGCTATTTCGAGCGGGAGAATTGAATA